AACAACAGACCGTCGGGTTCCATCCACACCACCTGGGTGGCTGCCATTCCACAACGGTGCGATTCTCGTGCAATTTCTTGCCTCGCACAGCCGCGTTGTGGAACGGACTGTCCTCGGCGGTATTTCCATCTGCAGTTCCTCTGATGTTGCAGATGTCCATAGGTGTCGTTGATCACCTCGGTGTTCCCCCCGCTCGTTGGCCTCCTTCTCTTATAAAAAAAACATCCATCTAAACATTTGCATTTATAATTTTTGATATCATATAAATCCAGAACACCAGAACGAAATTAGGTTTACATTACGATTGAGAATGTTTTTAATTTCATACCGACTATCACAAGCTGTGACACTCTAGGGTCTATATTTATAATCTCATTTGGATTGTATAATAAATATTTATTATTTTAATTTCTACTAATTTAGTCTAGTAATTTATCTATAATATATAGAATTAAAATTAAATGTCTGATTGTTCTGATACTGAGATAAACTAAGTCAGAATAAAAAGAAAAGTGATTGTTTTCATTTTAGGTCAAAAATGTGAGATGTAGCCGTTAAACAAAGCTTCGAAAGTGTTTAAACAACCCTTCAGTACTAATGGAAGCTGAAACGTTACTCAAGTAAATGGACATCGATTCTTTGTACACCGTTAATTTTTTTTCTTAACTGCGAAGAATACAATTTGATTTAATAATTTGTACTTATTATTATAGCATATTAAAGTAGTTGCAAATAAATATGATATACATACGAAACGTAATATTTATTTTATTAATGTTAAAAAGAAAATCCGAAAATGTAACAGTGTATTGACCCAACACTAGCCTTATTAAAATGTCAACATTGGACTTTGTAACGAAAGCACGTCATTCGCTCCAAAGGATTCTATTTAATAATGTCTAAAATTTGAAAAATAAGTATTTTACAAGTCCTTTGTAATTAGAAACCTATATACAATTACCACACTTCCCTCATCATCCTGCTCTTATCCCCACGGAGGGTCGGCACGGTATGTACTACATCTCCATACATCTCTATCAGCGATCATATCTAAAGCAACTTATGCATATCCTGTTTCACACAATCCATCAATACTTTCTTTGGTCTTCCTCTACCTTTGTAGCCACCATACTATACTTTACAACGTAAAATCTAATATATTTATAAAATTGTAATATGCATTGTATCGTAAACCTGTTCCTTAGTAAGAAAGATTTAATGGGCGATATACTCAAACGGTACACCTGTGTCGCGACCTGAGACTTAAAGTTTACGTTCTAAAATGACTCTTAGCTTCGGAAGCTATACTGTAAAGTTTTCACTGTTCAACTAACAAAAAGATTGTAGTAAAAAATTTAGATTTGGATCTCTTAATTTTTTAATTAAACGCAACATCACCAATACTCTAATTATAATCGCTAAATTACTTATTATATTTATATTATAAATGTGAAAGTTTAGATGGATGGATGTTTGTTTGAAGGTATCTCCGAAACGGTTGAATGGATTTAAATGAAAATTGGAACACATGTAGAACATAGTCTGGAAGAACACATAGGTTACAAATTAAGCTTTTTTTATTCCATGCGGACGGCATCGCGGGCGACAGCTAGTTGATACATAAACTTGTTAAATAATTTTGGTCAAGTTCACAAAGCCACACTTTTATAAAAATAGAACATGCTAGAATTTAACTCGTAAAATCTCTAAAACTATTAAGTAAAATGAAATAAATTCTGAACATCAGTTTGATTAGGTAAGTATTAATACTCTCCGTGCTGATGTCTAGACCAGACAAATAAACGTGCTAACGAACTTGATTAAAGAGGTGCATCAGTTAAATTTTACAACCTCACTGCACTTTTAAGATTGTATTACTTAACAAGAAGGTATGTTGACTTTAGTAAATACTAGCTGTCGGACGCGACTCCGTCCGCGCGGAATTCAAAATAAACGTAATTAGTAGCCTATGTGTTCTTCCAAACTATGCTCTATATGCATGCCAAATTTCAGCAGATCCATCTAGCCGTTCTGGAGATATCATGAAAAAAACTTCCATACATCTAAACATTCACACTTTGTTAGTAAGATTCTATGTTAAATAGTTATTTTCCTGTGAACGAATAAACTGAGTTGGTATTAATTTTTTATTACATAAAGTAATTCACATTATATTTTTATGTTATATAAATGAATCATAACATAAGAGCTAAAAAGATTAAATTTCCTAAAATTTACTCAATTTTGACTGTACAAAATAACTTTAAATATCTTCTCTTAACAGTTTTTATCGTTTTTTCCTGTTTTAATATCATTTTTAATTTGATATTTTTCCTAGATTTTAAAACGAGCTCATTGCTTTAAACAAGACAGACTTCTATTACTCTATTTTCATATTATTCCCTAAACGCGCATCAAAGGAGCGAGCCACGGGAAAATCTCATGAATCATGAAACTCCGCAAAGCTTTCGAGTGTAATCATATTATTCACCATTACATTTTGCAAGAAATCCGATAAAGAAACGTAATATATGACAAACGAGTTAAAATTTTATACATTTAATTTTCAATATCTAATAATACGAGCTGTATGATCTTCAATATCATTTACCGTAGGTTTTCGACACCAAAATCTGCGTTTAAAAAAATTATCATATTTATTTTTTCGAATATGATATTGATGTCAGAAAGACACTGTAACTTAACATAATAACCACAGCCTCTCTATAATCTTATCCAGTAATTTTTATACTTTACATTAATCGTTAGAAGGTATTCAAGGTTTATCAAGCAATCTTATGAAACACTCATTTGGTTCTACCATTAAAAAAACTAAAAGCAACACTAAATATATTAACTGAAATACACCTTATTAGGGAACGCACGAACGAACATAATGGTCGCCGCCTCAATGACGTGTAGTCGAATAGATAAATGTTACCGTCGTTTTCTACCGATGAAACACTCGTTCAAAATATACATTGTCATCCTTATCTCTCTCTTTACAAAAACTGAAATAACAATATGTTTTTGTACGGGCATTCAACAGTAGAAACCCACGTTTAAAGTTAAGATAAGAAGTTCCCATCGCGCTCTCCAGTTAGCGCAAAATAATAAAGGCTCTCGGATACTTCCAGACGGTTGAACACTAACCCGCAACTTGTTCGTAGCAAAGAACATTTCTTCCTCTAAGGATATAAACGACTTTACCCTTCAAAGATAAGACTAAATTAGACAGTATACGTAGTAAGTTAGCAAAGCTATTAAAGCCTATTGAAATATTTTTCTCAGAAGTTTTTCTACCGTCCAAAAGTATATTAAAAGCATAACTGTTTTCCGATAAAAGATGCTATTGATACTTCCATTTTTATTATGACAAAAGCGCAAATTTATCAACTTTAGTTCGATGAAAGTTCCGTTTGTAAAACTATTTACTTTTATATCATAATGTAATTTATAGTGATCAAAAACTAACAGAAAACTTTAAAGTAAACCTTCAAACTCCCAGTTAGTCAGCGCCGACACGCCCGCATCAAAACTTTGCCGTTAGCTAAAGCTCGAAATTTGACCTTTAGCTTCACAAAATATTACTATAAACAGTAAAAATTACACTAAAATCTGAGTTAGAGTCAAATTTGTCACAATCGTAAATATGGAATGGTCGAGTTAGGTGAAGACCTTTGTCGGAATACATCCTGATAACACTTTGTTAACACATTACACTTTAGTATATTTACCGAACAACAAAGAGTCATTTACAAAGCAGTACGCGTTTCATAACGTGGCGGTAATTTACTGCGTTCTTTTAATACGAACTTCTAATTGGCCAGAATGTTAAATCCAATTAATTGTTTATAGTCAATTGACCTCATCTTTCTTTTCATACTATTGACATCGTTCGTGGAATATTTGAAATTTACTAAAATGTAATAGATTCGTATCCATAGGTATAAATAAATAAAAATTCAACCATCGATTAGTGTCAAAACCACTTTTTTATGACCAATATTATAATATTATGATGTACCGAAATTGTACATGTTATAATAATAACTTAAGCATTCCGTAAACGTATTCAATCCCTTTCCCAATGACATATATTCCGACTCTGTTCCTTTAAAAGCATACCCACACGCCTAAAATATATTTTATTGCAGTTACGTTCCCTTTAACTGTTGTAATTTATGTCTGAACATGGGATTGGGAAAAGTAAGATTAGTACAAAATCTTAACCTTTTTAAAATTTAACTTTTGCAAAACAAGCGCTCAATTTTAATAACCTCGTTACGTAGTATCGCAATGTCATTTCTCGGATATGACACCGGAAAAAATCCTACCAGTAATGAGATAGTAATAATTGTAAACATCAATATGGCAACACTAACATTTGTGGGAACCACAGAATAAAACAGTGTGACGTAGGTTCTTATAGAGCAGAGTTATAATATGTTTCTTTGGTCGGAAAAGATACTTATTTCAATTGAAAGTTAAATTAGGTGAACAGAGGAAGACAAATTCCATCTATGTTAGCCATATTGATATCTGACTTTTGTAATTACTGTGTAAATTTCTACATATTACTGGCAATATATCCAAACCGTAGATAAAATATTTGCAGCATTTTTTTATGGCAACATTTTATGTTCTTGGTTGGAGAATGTCCCTTTAGCAGTCTCAGTATAATGTCATATACTAGCTACCGCCTGCGAGTTCGTTCGAGAGAATAATGAATTTTCAAAAAACCCAAATTGGTTATTAAATTTTTTGTACTAAAGTGTGAATCTATGCTTTCAAACAAACAATTCACCTCCTACATTAAACTTTTAGAACTTGAATTTTTAATATCCTTACCTAGTGCTCGTCTACCTTTATTACTTTCAGTTAGTAGTTTATACAAAATTTCAATTCCCTAGACCCAGTAGTTTAGGCGCTAAGTTTACATCAGTCTGTCAAACAGTATTTTTTTATATATATAGGTGTTGTAAACGTAAACAACATTTACACCATGGATCAAATTACGCAGACGTAATTAGAGTTCCATAGAGAGTGTCATTAGGTGTTTCAAATTATATGACACTAATATTATCACGTTTTATCTAAGTAGTCAAAGGAATATAAATGTAAGAAGTATTTCACTTTAACTTTCAATTACAAAATGGGTTGTTTGTGGTCTCACGAGGTAAGTTTTTCTTGAAAATAAGTTAATTTTATCATTTAACTATGCATACTTACTGATCTATTTTTAATTCTTCATTTTATGCAGTCTTCCGAACCCGAAAGGTATGAAAGACGTCCAAATTATTCAAGTGGAAGTTCTCAAAGTTTTAGAACAAATACTAATACTATAAATGCGCATACGCAGATTAGTTGCCGGGTAAGTTTTTATACTTTTGTTAAAGTTTTTTTTTAATATAAAGTAAGTCGTCTTCATAAAATAATACTTTTAGATAGATACAGTATAAGAAAAAATGATTATTTTATGATATATTATTCTTCCAGTCACAATCAGTGGTAAAACCGAAAGCTTTATTCGGAGAATATAAGTGTACTGCATGTGGACGTTCTTGGACCAGTAGACTTAGCTGGGCTAATACATATAGCCTTTGCAGCAGATGTAACAAACCGGTCTATCCGTTTAATCAGGTAAATACGTACAAAAGATACTACTAAGATTTCAATTGCAAAAGTTTGGATGCATGTCTGTTAACTTTAAGGATTTGAATTAAGTATGAAATAAAAAAGTTTAGAATAGCGTTTTGGCTATTGAGTTTATTTCACATAGATGATATCGCGGGCAACAGCTAGTATGTTCGATATGTTTAGTAAAAAATTCCACTAAACTAAATAGTACTTGATTATTTATTTATTTTTTTACATAGAAATGTTCCGAGATTTGTAAATAGCAGTTCTGTTGTGATGCTTTTTAATTTCAGAGAGAATTGCGTCCCTCTGACTTTGTAAAAACACCAAGTGACAATCAAGAACATAAGAAGGATCTTTGCCAGATGTGCCAAAAGTTGGGATACTACTGCGGAAATTATGGAAAAAATTATATTAAATCAAGAAAATAAAATTACCTTTCTCATTTAACCATTTCATTCGATTAACTTTTAATATCTTATGTAAATCATTACTTCGATTATTATAAAAATATTGATTTAATTTGAATTATTAAAACATTAAAAATTTTATTCCTTATCATTATACCCTGAGTAACTTAATATTAGATTCAATGTTTTTCTTCCTTTAACGTCATTTCTTTTTTCTTTTAATTAATTTGGTTTATGTATTACCAAATATTGAAACAAAATCATGTACCAAGTGAATCTTATGTTTAAAACGAAGGGTCTTGACCGATTTTTATGAAATTTTACATGCATATTCAATAGGTCTAACAATCGGCTACTATCTATTTCTTAATCCCGCGCGGACGGAGTCACGGGTGACACCTATCATCTGTATTAAATTTTGATTTAAGATTTAATATGGAAAATAAACGAACAAGCAACAACCAAAACAATCACATAACCAATAAAATTTACAATAAACAAAACACTAGCAGTTTCTGTTTGCTAAAAACAAATGAAAAAAGGGTCTTGACAGACAGACGGACGGACAACAAAGTGATCCTATAAGGGTTCCGTTTTTCCTATGAGGTACGGAACTCTAAAAACGGATTAACCTAAAACCCGCTTGACCGGGAATCAATGATTACTGAAAGAAATGTAGAAATACAAAGATAAATAGTGGAATTTTAATAAAATGGATTTCCAGTATCAGACCGTTCAGACGATTCTTCTGTTGTTACTGTCGATTGTGTGGATGTTACAATTGGAGTAGCCGTTGCTGTTGTCGGTTCAGAAGTCTTTGTTATAATTGTTGTACTTGTAATCTGTTTAGAAGTATCTGGTATCATTGAACTAGTACTTGTAATCGGTTCAGAAGTATCTGGTATCATTGAACTAGTACTTGTAATCGGTACAGAAGTATCTGGTATCGTTGAACTAGTACTTGTAATCGGTTCAGAAATAACTGGTAAAATTTCAGTAGTACTTGTAATCGGTTCAGAAGTAACTGGTAAAATTTCAGTAGTACTTGTAATCGGTTCAGAAATAACTGGTAAAATTTCAGTAGTACTTGTAATCGGTTCAGAAGTAACTGGTAAAATTTCAGTAGTACTTGTAATCGGTTCAGAAGTATCTGATATTGTAGTAGTACTTGTAATCGGTTCAGAAGGATCGGGGATGACTGCAGAAGTACCGATAGTCGGTTTATAAGTTGGAGTAATGCTTGCAGTTGACTTAGATATTTGTAATGTTGAAGATACAACTTCATTGGTTAAACTTTCAGTAAGAGATATCGATGTGGATGTAGTTAAAGATTTTGGAATGTTTGTTACATTATCTAATTGCGTGGTTACTTCATTGATTGCATTAGTTGCTTTTTTTGATGGTCTGATTGTTGTATTAGTTATAGCATTTATGGTTGTTGAATCAGTGTTTTCATTATATGTTTTATTTGTTTTTGTGATTTCCGCAGTAGAATTTTGCACAATATTTTCCTTGACTATTGCTTCTGTTATAGTTGTATATTCTAATCGTTTAGTTTTCTTATCTATATTATTCCAAATTTCTGGTTCAATTTTGATACTTTTTCCAGTTAAATCATTTGGTGAATTGATATCTTTTGATGTAGTAATTATTTTATGTTTAATTGTAGTTTTATGTTTAATTTTACTTGTTTTCAAGTATGATAAAGGTATTGTGAAATGTTTTAATTTGACTTTCCGCGTTGTCCAGTAATTTACTGCGGATGCACGCATTTCAATAACCCTTTTGATAACACTCAGAGGTACCCAATGACCAGGTAATCCAGCTTCTATAGGATTATTAACGTACATTACTTCGTCTAAATCTGACGTGATTACATTAGTATAAATTAACATTTGTGCTATAATTATCAATATGCACACTGAAACATCAAAGTATTTATTAAAATGAGAAAATAATTTCAGCAATTTATAAATCTAGAATACTTACTTTCGAATAATTAATTCTAATTGAATTTTCATGTTTTCCAAAGATTTGTTTCAAATATAAAATACAAATAGGCTGCATTGATAACTAATGTTCAACAAGGCGTAATACTTGGAAGTATTTTTGATTTCAATCGAGCATGAAAATTTAATTTTACTGATGAATGACTTTATAATCATATGATTCATAAAATGATAAACATTCTCTCAATACCAAATAACTCGTAAGATTTGATTTATCTTATATATAAAATTCTCGTGTCACAATTTTCGTTCCTATACTCCTCCGAAACGGCTTGACCGATTCTCATTAAATTTTGTGAGCATATTGAGTAGGTCTGAGAATCGGCCAACATCTATTTTTAATCCCGCGCGGACGGAGTCGCGGGCGACAGCTAGTTCCATATAATATAACCATTCCACAAATGACAAGGAATAAAATAATTTTTAGGGTTCCGTACCTCATAGGTAAAAAACGGAACCCTTATAGGATCACTTTGTTGTCCATCCGTCTGTCTGTCAAGACCCTTTTTCTTAAAATCCCGTGAAAGTATCAAGCTAGAATTTATTAGGGTTTGTACTCTAAAGGTTTGTACTGAACACTCGGTGCGAGTCCGACTCGAACTTATTAATACGTACTATAAAAGAAAAAAAAACTTTAAATGTATTATTTATTTATGAACAATCTAATTAAACCTACTTAACAAACCAAAATTAATTAATCCACTTTTTGGAAACATCTATGTATTCTCCATCGGGGGAGTCGTAGTTCTTGATGGGTGGAGTCGCAACTGGACCCTTTATACTGTAAGGAATCAGCTTTAAATCCGGCTGCAAAGAAAACATATTGGATACATACATATTATTAACCTATTTATCAAAGATTTATTGTAAAATTAAAGAATTAATAATAGGACAAAGCATAATACAAATATAAACAATACTGTGAATGCATTTTTCTAATTGTTATTTACAATTTTAAGTATCTTTTTTTAGAAGCTCAAAAATTTTCAAAGTAAAATCAACAACTTTGAAACTGCGGAGCTAAACAAAGTGCATTCACTATGAAACGATTGCATAATGACATTCAAAAATGTATAGAACTGACTATAACTTTGTGACTGTCGCGCGTCAGTTCCATACATTTTTGGAATTAGTTATGGAATCACTTCCGAGTGAATGCACTTTGTCTAGCCCCGCTGATATCTTACTGTTTAGATGATTGATTAATTAATAATTGTTTGTGTGTTCAAATATAAATTAATTTCCATTACCAAACTATTAATTCAAATAGTATTAATTGAACTTTATAATGCAACACATGAAAGTAATTATGCAAAACATATTGGAACATTAAAATCAAATATGAAACACATACAAATTGAAAACAATTGTAATTGGCATTATAATTTTCAATTACAGACTAAACCTAAGTAATAAAAAAAATTGATAGGCCTAGGAAAAGATGAATATATTCAGTGACTGTGACATGATTAAATGGGAGTGACAACTAAATAAATAATGGTTTAATGTGAAGGATGAAAACCTATTGCGGCAACCCTAAATGAGTAGGAATAGGACAGGAAGTAACAGAAAATATTCCTTATTTACTTCATGCGTCTTTAACATATTATTGCTCACATCTGTTAGTAACCATCAAATACCCAGTGAGTCTTGTGCAATGTTACAATAAATACTTGAATTACCAACATACCATAACAGCTTCGTTGTACAAATCCTCGGATTCCTCATAAAGCATGTCTAATGCACGCTTTTGTGCTGCCATGATCCTGTCAATTTGTGCAACATTTGCCATATACTCTGCACGTTTGTAGCGACTCCATTCTTTTTGTAACAATGCACGAGCTTCCACCTCCTGTTCACTTAATTTCACTTCGGGTCTTTTCCGCTTTCTAAAAGAACACCTTTACAGGTAAGTTATTAAGAAGAAAAAATGGTCTAGACATTAATAGCGTTTCTTAATGAAGGCTGGATTATATAGAAGTACATCAGAAACACTTTTATGCTATGCTCGTTTATAAAAGAGATTTGGAATATTTTATATCCAGAGCTATTGACCTGTCTGGTATGTACATTTTTAAACATCATTATTCAACTTATCATATATTTTAATAAATAATACAATTACCCAATTTCATCAACAACATTTAAGGGAATCTCTAATTCCTCAATAGGCTTTAACTGTCTGGCATTCTTTTCTAATCGTCTGATTTGTTTTTCTAGTTTCTTACGACGCCTGTCTTCACGAGCTTTTATGATAGCGGGGTCCATCTTCTTCTTCTTCTTTAAAGGCTCCGCACTAACAACGTTAATTTAAATATCAGTAGCTGTCTAGTTATTATCTAAATGTATTTATAATCGTAAATATCTTACCATAATTGTTCAGTTACTTTAAATTGTAACGCAGGTGCGGTGAAAATATTCCGATTTATAGCTATTGCTTTAGGAGTAGACAACGATAATCTAAAAATATTACTGAAAATTAGTCCAAAAAATTTACATTAAAGGTTAAGATTAACATCTTCAAAAAATTACCTGGAAAATTGTTTTAAAATCGATAAACTAAACATGATGACGAAATTACTGTTTTAATTTTTCGAATTCTTTGATTCTTCTTAGTTGTTTTTAATTTGTATTTTATAATATAAACATAACCTATCATAAATTGACATTACTGTAAAATGTCCAATGAACATGACAGTGACAGTGGAAAAAGGAAATTGTGTTGCGTTCCGATTTACCTAATTTCTTTTTTATTTTTCAATTTATGTTTATTTTTTTTTAACTAAACAATCTTTTCGGATATTAATTAGGATTTTCAATACACATTATTAAATATTTTCAGTAAAGTAATATTACGAACATTAGAGTATCGGAAGAACAAGTTGGCCTTAATATTTTTTTTAGTACCTTCGTACATATAGCAATGTTCGTATGTTTTCTTTCATATCTTATCCATCAATCATTTACTTGAATACTAAATGCTCAATGCCTAATTTTTTGCCAAATACCTCCATCGGCAAATAAATTATATAATAACTAATTGATAGATTTTACGATAAAACATTACATAATTTTTCTTGTTACTACAAACACAGAAAGCAAAACTGTTTTACCATACGGCCAAAACCTTAAACTCTTATAGTCAAAAAAATGGCATTAAGTCATTCGTAGAACGGTGGCACCAAGGCTAATATTATATGAATAGCGGCGTCTTATAATATATTCTGATAAATGGTTCTGTATATAATAAACAATCCTTAGCGTGGGATATTTTTACACAAAAGAGGTGCAGCATGTTTATATAATAATGAATATTGCTATTGTAAATACCAAAATAAAGCGAAGCACTGTAAGATTACAATTGCACAGAGCTAAGAACACAGGCAGTGGCATTCCCAACACTTGATGATCATTAGATGAAGAAAAACCTGAATTGTCTACAGGATTCCAATAGAAAACTCCACTATTTTTCTTTAATTAGATAAAGATAAATTTATTTATTAATAATTCTTAATATCAATATTTAATTTTTAATATACTACTTATAATACTTTTTAATTTGTATAGCATTAGAGATACTAGCCGTTGATTTAGAGAGACTACCAAATTAATCAAACAATAAAAAAAAATTAACAAATTCTTTAAAAGCTAACTTTTACAACTACGTAGTATCCGGATTTATTTAAATTAAGCACTCCTGCATTCGATAAAATGTGTTTCAAATATGAAGTATGGCACATAGTAACCCCTTCACCCATATCGCTTTATATTGAAGAATATGTCTCTAAATTTATGAAAAAAATACTTAAATTAATCAAGCAGTAACTTTTTAAGAGCTCGATGAGGTAGCTTTAATTAAACGGATTTAATTATAAACCTTTCTATCAAAACATTCATCAATCAACTGATTAATTTATTCTAAAATTTAATATTACTCACGTAAATATAAAACTTGTCATGTTTATTGACGGTCATTTAAAGTTCTTATAAAATTGCCAGTTCGGGTCAAGTGTAATATTCATATAATTTATCATTTCCATAAAGGTTTTCATTTATGATTTTGATTAATTATAATTTTTGTGTATAAAAGGTTTTTTTTTAGTTTGAAATATGTATAAAAGTTATCTTTTATGTCAGTAAAAGGAAAACAAATAATCAAAAGTAAGAGCTAATCAACTCCAAATTATCTTTGAGGAATTATTGTTACACGATTCAGTAACGAGCCCACATCGAATGGTACCGTTTGGTTAGTAGTCCTAGATCTTTCATGCTTTCTTCTTAGACACGCGACCTATCTACGGCTCATAGCAACATCGGTTTTCCTCTAACTTAAAATGACTCAGTAATAAGTGCTACCTTGAACAACTATTAAAATCTGATAGTAAACAATTATGTAATAATTTACTAAAGAATAATAAAATAAATAAGATTCAATTTACAATGCCGCGCGTGTCATGTCTCGTGTCCACCGATAACCATCCAAAGAACTATAAAAATGTAAATCACCTCATTATAATAAACAAAACTCTGTCATTTAGCATTATCCTTAAGCGCAATGTTTGGCATCATCTCATTCTCAACTGAGAATCGATATTGACATGCGCCATACGAGACGTGCGTACGTTTCTAGTGATTTATTCAAACGTTTCATGACTTTACGTTTGTGACAGTGACTACAATGAGTTACAATCATTCGGATTACGTTTTGACAAAACTTGTGACGAATTTTTTAAGTGATGACATCTCTAATTATACTAATCATAGTGAAGTGACGCAAACGCATCTGTTTGATTTGTACGAGGCGTATAGAACCAAGGAACGTGAACAACTCAGTGCTTATAAATCTATTGCTTATGTGTTTGGTGTTGTGATATTCCTCAGCAACCTAACTGTAGTCATCTCCAGTGGTCTTATTATTAAGAAAGGTAAAGATTTATATCTACACAAATCAAGTATATATGTAAGCAATAATATGAAATTAATGTAAAGAAAGAGATATTTAAATTATTTCGTAAAAAAGAAAAAAAATATTTTTCGAAAAATCACTTGTGACACTTTTTTATTATTTGATTGATGTATAAAATGTCTTCTACGTTACTTAATTAGACAAACGCATCTTTATAAAAGAAAAATCTCATACTTTTCTTAAAATAGAAATAAATGGATGATGCATAATTCTAATCTAATCCTATCGATGTTTTATTGAGACAAAAAAGTGACGTCCATAAATAAAACAAAAAAAAACGTGATAACGATTTTCCCGCTCTTTTTAAATGGCCTTGATTACAATCTTTCCAATTACTAAGCGGGAATATTGCCAAAAAATACTATTTACTCATAATTTGACGTATTATTTACTTTTCAATTTTTTTGATCGCTTGAAATCCGGTCGTTAATTTTCTTCTAAAAGAAGGAAGTGAAAGGCAACTTTAAAAAAAATCTCAGTTAGTAATGTAATTTTGAAGGCTGTAGTATAAATTGGATTTTTCTTGAAGCACGATTCTAACACATTTTTTTTAAATAAAATTTATTACGGCAATTAAGTGATACGTGCGATGTACTGTATTTTTTACAATCCATGGACAAAGATTTATGTTTTACCAATTCGAAAAAGATGTTTATGGAAATCCGGAACGTCGATGTGATATCATCGCTATTGGCACTCTTAAAATTAATTTTTAATTCTCGTTATTTATGACAGAACAGGGTCTTTAACATATCTATTCCAAAACTGGCCGTCGCCGGCGACTCCGTCAGCGCAGAATTAGAAAAAAACTTTATTATTAGCCTTGTGTTCTTCCAGGCTATATTCTATATTTATTCCATCTAGCCATTCTAGAAATACCCTGTAAGAAATATCCATCCATCCAAACATTCGCATTTATAATATTTATATATTGTGCGTAAACAAAGCAAAAAGTATGCCAGGGTCTAACCAAATATTATATGAACTCTGTGTATCCCTCTGTGTGGTCAAGGGCTAATTTATTCATCTAACCGTGGGTTTCTGAATCCAAAATCCCCGTTTAAAACATATCGTCAACCCTATCATGTTTCCGATAACAATATGTTTTAAACAGGGAGTTTGGTCTCATAAACTCACGGTTAAACTAATAGAAATAAGTTATAGGAACAACCGCACAGATACCATAGACATTTTTTTTTGTATATACACGTGATTACCAGCTAAATGACAAGCGTACGTTTTCGGTATAGCAACGCAGTTAATGGCTCACATAACCGATCCAATGCGAACATTTGGCTCACGTACATGCCAAAAACATAAACATTTGAACAAAACACAATACGAAATAGAGCTCTATAAAAGTTAACATTTAATTTTATTAAAAAACATTGTATAATTTCGAAATCTGAGCCAATAATTGAAATAATTGATTTTATTTTGTAGTACAGAATTACTTTTTTAATTTGCAAATATTTAATACAAGTTTAATAAAAATATTCATAACAATATACATTAATAAATTCGAACCTTATTCCTTGTTTATAGAAACTTTAAATTTTTAAGTCATGCTGAACTACAATAATAGTATTTACTTTTAAAAATTAAAAAAAAACTATAGCACCAAGAATATTCAAGACAAACACGCATACAACATTACTCCGAATGAATAATGAGGAGTCTGTTTGTTCACAGCACACTTGAAATCGCTAATGGAATAAGTAATCTACACAAACTCACTTGTACCTTATTCACTCAAAATGATTACACATTTTACTGTATGAATAACTAACAAAACAAATACGTTTTGTTAAAAGAATAATTCGTCTTCTCTAGTAACTGCCAGTTGCTATTAAGAAAAACCTCTTCTTGGAAACCTTTTTACAAATTTAAAATTATTTTATCACATTCCTTAAATCCAGTGCAGGAAAGCTGAAATAAATCGCATTAACACTTTTCAGTTTAGATTTAGTTCAGCCTAGGCATTGTAGTTGGACTAGGCCGATTCATTTACTCTTATTTGTTTCAGGTCAACAACCAAAAAGTACATATCTCCTTCTCGGAAATGTCTCCCTTGCCGACACAATTATCGGAATATCGATCATTTTTGGGGCCAGCGTTGAAACGGCCACAAGCTCAAACACGCTGTGCATTTTCCAAATTGGTAAGTTCAAAAAAAAACTACAAATACGAAAATAATTTTAAGCCTGATAATTAAATCAATAAATTAATTTGATTACTTTTGTGAATAGGTATGTTGGTTTGTCCAGCCATGGTGTCAATATTCAGCGTTGGCATGATCGCCGTGGATCGATACATCTACATATTACACGGATTGTATTACCAAAGATGGTGCAATACAACCAAAGTGAGAATAATAATAATGTGCATTTGGATGATCGGTAAGTGATTCGATATTATCACTTAGTATTTAATGTTCAATGACTAACATGCTTCGTGTTTATAACAAAGCACCTCACAACACTTATTGCGTTACAGGTTTAACTCTTGGATTCATGCCTGTCACCGGTCTGGTGAATGAAGATCATATAGATATTAAATGCACCTACGTTTCACTCTTTCCTAGTATTCTTATACTAATAAATTCACTTTTAAGTATAATACCAATCCTATTAGTAGCAGTATTGTATACCATCATCCTCTTCAAAGCTCTTAAGAATGCTAAACAAATAAATAATACATTAAAAACAGTTAGAATTAAATCATCCAGCGACGCATCAGAAATAAGAGCTTACCGCGGACACGGGAATTATAAAGCAACACAATCAGTGAAAGTTGCTAGAAAATTAAGCGTAACAAAAATTAAAAGGAGCGCTTCATTTGATACTGTCGATGGACTTAAAACCGAATTTAAAACTAATAAAGATAAATCAAAAAGCACCGAAAACCTTAGCAACGATCAAAATGAAAATGGTAATTTGAATAATGGAATGACTTATTCCAAAACATCAAACAAACGTGTATTTGATACTAGTTTCCTCACTATCAGTACATCAACGATTATAAATGATTCGATAGCTGATATTAGACAATCGCCTCATAAAATTGCAAAAGCCATAGCAAATTGCACAACCCGTTATAAAGAGAAAATGAAAGAGCCCAATAGATTGAGGGCGGTCTTAATAGTGATGTTAACAACGGGCAGTTTTATAACGACATGGATACCGTTTTTTATAACGGCTATTTTCTACGTATTCTGCGAGGAAAAAATGACAAATCCTAAATGCATAGATATGAGGATATTGCTGCGAGGCCCGTTGGCAGTAACGGCTTTTTGTAATAATATATTAAATCCTTTGATTTACGCATGGTGGCATAAAGGATTCCAACAAAGTATCAAGACATATTTCCAGAAGTACATTAAAAGTATATTCAAGAATCCTTACCTCTGATAAATGTTAACGCTCTTTTTTGAGTAATGTTTTTTAGTTACTTTAAGATACTGGTTTTGATAAATAGCATTTATAACGCTTTACTCGTGTAGAATTCCTACTAGGCATTCTCCTTTAACTCCAAATGGAGATACCATAAAATAAATGACTTCGCAATTTCTTTTCTCATCATTATGTGATCTATAAGCGATATATCTAAGAGCGTCGGTGACTCAGAGGTCAAGCACGTGACTTGCAATCTGCGGGTCCTGGGTTCGAATCCCACCATGTACCGATGTGTTTTTCGATTTCCGATTTACATATGTACATTTATTCAACGTTCTTACGGTGAAGGAAAACATCGTAACGTAACCTGCACATATCTGAGAAGATATTCAAATATATGTGTGAAATCAACCAAACCGCACTTGGCCAGCGTGGTTGACTATGGCCTAATCACCCTTAACTTAGGGTAGGCTCCGAGCCCTTCGGTAGGGACGTATAGTGAGCTGATGATGATGTGATCTATAGCCAAAGACCAGGCTTATACATAGCACGAAATGCACTTCATTGTATTTAACTTTATTGTTATTTTATGTGATTTATGTCCTTGTTGTATTCACAATTAATTTACAATAAAATAGCTTACAAATTTGATTTGATTTTAAAATAATTTTATGTGGCTTTATATAGCACGCACAAACTAACAGTGCAGACGTTTGTCCTAAATAAGAATAAAAAAAAGTTTTTTTTTTTAACATTCTTTTCTTTCAGTCTTTATATATTCAATAATATGAATATAGGTATGTATTTTTTCCAAAAAGTTTTATTGGTTTATTGTAGACACTTTTTTTAATATTATATAAAATAAAATAGATTTTTGAGACAAGTACTTATTTACTACATGAGCTTTGCTGGTTTTCTAATAACCTAAATTTATGGTCAAAGTTCACTAAAGAAAGGTAAAAATAATGAATTAAAACAACAATTATTAATTAATTTTGAAAGAAAATAATTTAATTGTGTTAATTAAATACATATATACATTCCAAACAATCAAAATATAGCAATTTTTTTTTGTTTTTTGTGACTTAGTAGTCACTGTTTGCCTTGAAGAGGCAATAGCTTCACTTGGCTTGAGGTGGCCGAGTGCAAATGGCGCTTAGCCTGAACCTCCTTTAAGAGTAACAAGACTCGAGGGCTCCCTCAGGAGCCTCGGCTCGGGTTGTTACTTCGTTATTGTTACCGGATTGGGAGGTCACCATTATAACAAATGTAAAAGTCATTATGCAGAGCATAGAAGGGACAGACAGTTAAAAGTAATAAAAATGCTTGTTAGATACGCAAATTGAATTTTAGTGTGATTTTACAGGTCTATTTGTCGCCAGCTTGCCAGCTATGGGTTGGACAGGGAGCACGTTTAGAGGGTACAGGTGTTGGTACATCGCAGTCTTCCCGCCACCGCTCCTGATTATCGTGTCATTAATGGCATTATCAGTAATCATCATGGTTTGCGTTTTATATATTATCATTCTGCGCAGCGCCGTACAAACTGTTGACAGAATTAGAGAGTTCCAAGAGAGTCATACAATATCTTACATAAACGAAGCATTTAAATACGATGAACATATCAATTCTCCAGTTCACGAAACATCAACCACAACAATAACCATAACAATATCGTCACAAACTGTCACAGAATTAACTGACAACCCTAATGAAACTCACGAACTGGCTGGTGTAATTACGGAGAAAAATATTGCTGGAAAAAAAAGAATTGCTGGAAATAAAAACTTTTTTAAAATGTCCGGTCAACTAGGGGCAAAGGCGGTCAACCATCCGAGTAAAATCAAAGCTGTCAAAACAGTATTTCTTATACTTCTCTGTTTTGTAGGCACTTGGACACCTTATTATGTTGCAATAATATTATACGTAAAATGCGACATTACCAAGAATGGTTACGATTGCATACCTTTAGAAGTATTAACTTTGGGACCACTTTATATTTTGGGTGTAAGTAACAGTGTATGTGATCCAATAATTTATGCTTGGAGACATTCGGGTTTTAAAAAGACATTGTGGAAAATTTATGACAAATTTATTAGGAACATGAGAATGTTATTTTAGACATATTTAATTTATTTTATACACGAAATACAAGAACATTTACTTATTATGTCGATCAATAACTCAACGAAATTATATTTTTTTATTATTAATCGCAATTTATAAATAAACATATTATAGTATTTTTTTGTATTATTTCATTTAAAAAAAAACATTCTATAAATCAAGAAGGTTGCATTGTGCATTCATCTTATTCATTTTAATAATTACACCAATATATATTTTATAACTTTGTATAAATTATTATTACATCGAAGATATGAAGAATTTATGATACGAAACAGAAATATGTTCATCTTGTATAAATGCGTCCCGGAGGCCTAACTTAGTCCTCTTTCACTTCCCACCCTTTTTCTTATAAGGAAAGGATGTGAAGTGGACGTGGACTTTCCGGATTACAGGATGCATTGGAAGGGAAAATATTTTCTTTTTGTGCATCCTCTCCTCCGTCGATTAAAGGTAGGCAACGCATATGCGTATGTCTATGGGCAACGATCACTTCGCTATTTAAGCGATTTCAGGTGGCCGCTCGCTCGTTTGCCACCAAATGATATTAAAAAAAATATTCAGGAATTACAGGATTCGATACCATGGGATCAAAATAAATGTTCTAAAAAGTAATCACCAATGCCGATAGGCTTACATTGAGACTATATCAACCTACTTTCTTTTTCAATTTGAGTTAAAAAAAATACGTATTAATATAAAAATATTTATGGTCTTGTGAGTGTACTTATTTTGTCCGACCATCTTTTACTGCAATAAGAGAAACATTTTCGGTTCGGGTATTAAAAATAACGATTATTACTCGTCTTGACGATCTCTCTTCGTGAAATGTAATGCTCTGTTAATGTAACAGCGAATAACGTCATATAAAGATAAACGTTCATTTGATAACATTTTCACACAACAGCAGAAACTTCGACGAAAACTTTAAACTCTTTTTAGTAGAGTATTGTTTACAGTGTACATATTTCCCGTACATATAAACTTAATTATCCTATCTCTATAAATAGCGATGCCAGGCGTCCGGATGATGCCGGACATAGGTAGGCTTTTTGATTGTGTATCCGACCAAAATAAACGGTGTCCGAATTGTCCGGCTTTTGTTTAAGCTTTATACATTTCGCAAACGAGAGTGGCTGGCGGAATATAGGGTGTGTGCTTTTCTATCCAAATGTCCGGCCAAACTGATTGGTCTGTCCGGCTATTAGGTTTGATGAACTGGCAACCCTAACTACAAGTAATATCTAGCAATACGGTAATAAAATACATTGATAAAAATAATATATTGGTATTTAAATTATAAAAATTTTATCATGAATTTCCGATGTGGCCTAAGTTGCATTAATAATTTTATGATTTAGTTTGGTAATGTTTAAAATTTTCAGTAAAAACGACACAAAAATACATACGTTCCCATATTTGATTAATTGCAATACAAGAAAGTGAAATGATGGCAAGTGATTAAATCACCTCCTTAAATTGGTCTTTGAAAATGTTTTGGTAGATAAAAATCTAATAATCACGTTCTTGGGCATCTAATGTGCGTGTCTTAAGAATGTTTGCTTCGACTTGTTGCGTGATGCGTGAGATGTGTGCGTGAAGTCTGACGTGGTTTCCACTGTTAAATGGATTATGTAAAAACATTATATAATCCTTTGAATTCAATTAGTAAAAATAGAGATAACAATATCTTTACATTCTGATACAAGCTTCCGGAAAATTTGAACATTATATACACATTCCTACATTTGAACAAAACACGGATACATTAAACCATATTTCAAATTTCTGAGGTGAAGGTATCTTAATAACCATGTTGCAAACTGTACCGTACATTCGACTTGTATTAATACATGTTGTCATTCCTCTCACACTCTTTGAAAAAAATAGAGACAGCAATAATATGTTGTGTCAATACAGTTGTCACTGTATTCGAAGCCTACTATAACAATTATGACGCGATACATCAAAGCTAGTAGTTTATCCACTTTATCGTATCCAATTGCAGATTAAGGTGCAATAAAGATATAGGCAGTATTATTTATCGGGAGGAATTAAAAGTAAATACGGTAGCAGATTAAGGTCAGTGCTAAGTGAGATGGCGCGATCGGTGTTGTGTGTCCTACTGTTGGCCGTGGCTTTTGCCCAGGCTAAGCACGAAAAATATGAAGGGTAAGATATTACTAATTTCATCATCCTTTCTTATCATGATTATGACTATGGACCTAGCACGAATATTTGCGACTAGCGCCTTCATATCATCATCTATAACTATGTCAAAGTGAGTATGCGATTTTTGGTGCACAAATTTTAAAGTAGATTTTGTCGAGAACGATACGATGGTGTTTCACACAAATATTCGTGCTAAGCCCACTGGTGCGTGTACGCTCTGCTTTATAACAAACTTTATGGCAACTTGTTAACCAGGCTACAAATGAACGCCGTGGAATTAAGTAAGAGCCAAATACATAAAAACTACGACTCATTGTTATTAATGTAGTAGATTATAGTTTACTTCAAATAAAATCTTTTAGTTTGCTATTAAAATAACATTAGTCTAGGGTCCTATTCCTATATAATTTTTGCTTAGCATGTTCGTCTGTGTCACTTAGCGACGGCATCTACGAAGTTAGAGTCACGAAACTAAATAATGAGACATGTCTTCGCCTTGGCCCTGCTAAGGGCTCTTAATAAGCAATAGTAACATTGTTTACCCTACACGTAACGAGGTCTTCCGGAATATATTTCCTTCTGCAAATCAGTTTCGACCTATTTTCCTCATCGGATACCTTCCATGCATATAAACAGGTACACAGAGCCTACTTTAAAATACATGTTTCGCTTTACAATGAAGATATTTTATATGGCTATCAAGTACATATAAATATTATTACTTAGTAACCATTCTGTATGAAAACATCTGTCGGGATTTTCCAAATGAAATTGGTCATATTTTTAAGGACATTAACTTCGTTTGCATGTAAAATAAATATATTTTAGATCCATCAAAATATAAGAAAATAAAAGAAGATAAACCTAAACTATAACTTTTATTGTTTGATATTACAGAAATTTCTAGATAAGACTCCTTCTCGATTAGAAATTACTAACAAAGATCTATACCTAACGCCAAACCCTTTATCTATACTAATGTTATAAAGCGGAAGAGTTTGTTTGTTTAAACGCGCTAACCTCAGGAACTACTGGTCCGATTTAAGAATTTCTTTTTTTGTTGGATAGTCCATTTATAGAGGAAGGCTTTAGGCTATATAACATTTAATTCCGCACGGACGGAGTCGCTGGCGACAGCTAGTTATAAATATAGGGTCAAGTAATTGTTTCATAACAGACTTATCTTAATATAAAACTTGTTGCTTTAATTACAAACACATTTAATAAGTCACTTACTTTTAATTGCAAGTTTCTGCTTCGACGAACAAACGATTCGTTGGGTAGAAAATTTTAAAAGACTTAAGACTTCTTGATATTAATCTAAATTGCATGATGAGAATTATCGTTTTATCTATAAAATTAGTTACTTAAGAGCATTAATTGGGCAAAGTTAACGCTAAAACTTGGTACAATGCCAAGAGCCCAGTCCTAGTGTTCCCGCTGCACATGTAGTTAACACAGCGCCACACCAAGTTTAATATTAGTTATGAAGGCAAATTGAATATAAATTATACAACGCTACTCCATAACTCCGACAACTCCTTGCATGGACCATTTCTGCAGGCGTTTGTTAACTAGAAGACTTAATAGCTCTAAGCACTAAAGTACTGGGTTGAAGTTTTGCTGGAATTTCCTCTAAATACAAGATTGTTGTTTGTTCAATGATAGTTAACAAAACCTTATCAATCCATTACGATATATCATTCCTTTCGAAAAAACAAAACCGAATAATTGGGCAATGAATTGAGCCATAAATCAGAATGTTATAATGTAAACAACAGATCCGAGTTCTGTTAGACCTTAGGTAAGTTCAGATTAACTGACTCATTGTGATTTGATACATCGGCATGACAGTTATATAAACCTTTTTAAGCCAAACATCGATAAATGAAAAAAAGATTTCTTTAGAGACTTCAAGTTACCTAAGACCTTATGCAATCTTCTCAAACTATAGATTGTATTATTATATTAATAACTTTAAGGCATCAGTTGTACCGCGTGGCGGGACCGAGGCATGAGATCGGCGCACTAGAAGCCCACCTGGACATCATCTCCGCGACACCCGCGGCCCGCTCCGTCACCGGCAACTTGGAGGCTTTGGTCAGATTGGCGCCGGAGGAGAAACAGAAATGGCTACAATACTTCGATACGAAACAAATGACTTACACTAAGGTTATTGATAATCTGGCCGAGTAAGTAACCATGACTTTAAGAAAAATAGTTTTTCCACCATCTCTATGCATGTGTTATACTTATTTTTTTCTATATTAAACTTGTGATAAATGTGTCCAAAATTTTCAGTATTCTTCGCAACGAAGAAGCAATGATCAAACAAAGGAAATATGCCGCGAAACGAAGCGGCAAATCTATCAGTTGGGACACATATTACAACTCAGAAGAGGTATATTATTTTTGTTTCCTAAACATATTAACTGAAAAAAAAAACAAAATAATACGTTCTCTGATAACTAAAAAAAATACTGTTTTTCCTTTAGATCAACAACTACATCGACCAATTAGGTGAGGAATTCCCTGACAAAGTGACGGTTATAAACGCGGCTCTTAGTTACGAAGGTCGACAAATCAAGTACGTGAGGATCTCGACGTCTCGCTTCGAGGATCTGAGAAAGCCAGTGATTATTATCGATGCTGGTGTCCACGCCCGTGAATGGGTGACAGCGCCTGTAGCTTTGTACATCATACATCAACTAGTCGTTGATGTTGTTGACAATAACTTGACAGAGAGGCTCGACTGGGTGATCATACCAATGGCAAACCCGGACGGATATGAATACTCTATTACTACGGTAATTTATATTTAGTTATCGAGATTATTAATTAATGTGTTTGTTTTCAAGGTCGGTAGGATATTTAAGAATCTATAAGATTTTCTTAATAAAAACGATTGGTCATGTTTTATTCTTCTCTTACAACCTATTGGTGTAAGAACTCATGAAGGTTTGTTACTTATTTTTGAAATTCTATCTCTAACGAGACACGGAATAGGTACTCACAAAATTGACCATTATTTACGTGACTGATTATCTTACACGAAATAACAACACCAATAGTTTGATATCTTTATTTATTTCAATGAAAATGAGAGGGATGGCGATCTATTTTTATACATGTGTTGAGGCAATGAAAATACGCCGTAATGATATGATTTACCTACAATAATTTCGTTAGTAAACTTGCAATCGTGATTTTGATACAAAACATGATAATAAATGTATTGTTTTATTACAGTCTCGTATTACACGAACGACATTTAGAATTCAAATGAGTTTTTTAATAGTAATTGCAACAGAAGAATTCCTTAATCTTGAAGTGCAACTTCAATATAGACGGGGATCTTAGGGATTTGCATGTGAAAAAGTAACCACCCTGTAGATTGAGATTTTTAATAGTTTTTATAAATAACGTCGCTCCAGTTATTTAATAATTGCCTAAGTATATTGTATTTTACACATATTTCACACATTTTTCACCATTTTGTCTAGGATCGTATGTGGCGTAAAACTCGTTCTAAATCACACGAAGGCAGCGATGAATGTCCCGGTGTTGACGGCAACCGTAACTTCGACCATTACTTCGGCACGAGCGCGGCCAGCGCCAACCCTTGCGCCATCATCTACGAAGGACCCGCGCCATTCTCGGAACCTGAGATCCGTGTCATCAGAGATGTCGTCTTACAGAATCTAGATCGCGCAGCTATGTACATTTCCGTACACAGTTTTGGAAACATGTTCTTGTACGCATGGGGTAACAACGGTAAATATTAGAGATGGTTCATTTTTTACTTTTACTATTTAAAACTGAATAATTCATAGTCACAAATAAGAATAAAAACTGTTGGTAGAAAGTAGGAATGGTGTTAATAAAGAACGAGTTATTTCTTTGATTAATTCATAGTCTATATTCAAGAAAATAAAGCGCTATTCAAGTAAATTTTCATAGAATAAGCATATCTTGCCTATGCTAATAGCAACCGAAAACTTTTAAAGTCTTTCGTCTTCTTCACACTTCAACACTTTTTATATGATACACAGGAACCCTGCCTTCAAACGGTTTAAGTCTCCACGTGGCTGGTGTCCGTATGGCAACTGCTATCGACGAGATGGCTCTCGAGAAGGCTGACCGATACGTGGTCGGTAATGCTGCTAACGTCCTGTACTACACCACTGGAACGTCAAGAGACTGGACACGTGCTGTCGGCATCCCACTTACTTACACTTTAGAGCTCCCCGGCTATGAATATGGCTTCCTCGTCCCGCCGACATACGTTGAGCAAATAGTCACCGAAACTTGGGACGGAATCAGCGCAGGCGCACACTACGTACTATCTTTACAGTGATATTTTTGATTTGTAGATTTTAATAAAAATCTATTTTTCAATCATGTTAGAATTTATTTACTAAGCTTTCAAATGTCAAATGAGTTTATATGATTGATATCTTGGTACACCAATTTTATTTATTATTTTTAAATTATAAGATACAATATTGTGATTTTTATAGTGTAAAGTCATAAAATATACAATTATAGTCGAAAATTAAAAAAAATAACCAATATTCGAAATTATTAATCTAACAATTCAATTAAATGGTGTTGAATGAACACTTAACATTATAACGTAAATTAATCCCTAATTGCACAAAAGGCCGCAGGCCAAGCGAAAGTTTTACATGTTGAAAACGCTTAAGGGCTTTTGAAACTAAACTGTTACACGCTAATAGGGACAATGGAAAATATAATTTGTGGTTAACACAAAATTTTACGATCCAACCTTTGCGTTTTATTGTAAATCAATAGACGTTTCTACGTCGGTTCGACCGAAATGGTTGAAATCTCGAGAAGTTCCAATCCAGACAACATATCGCTATCCCTTTCAATCTCTTAGAAAAAAACAGAGATAACCATATATTTGAGTACTTGTGTACTTGAAGGGTAATGAACTAAACGTCAAACATTTCAAGGTCAAGTTAAAAATCTCAAAATTATTATTTTACGATTAGTCTGTAATCTGTTACTTGAAAAGTTATTTTACTAAATATTTTAATCTGAGTGTAAAAACCCTATGAATATGTTGGTGATTATTTTTTTTTAATATAATCCTAACATTCTGTATACCACTAAGCTTGTGGATGTCCCAAAATAATGAAAAACAGAATAGCCGTTACGAGCGAGTAAAATTAATTTAAAACTTTTAAGTGTGGTATTAACGTTTTAACTTTCCTCTTTCTAAACTTTACGATGGCCGTTGTTTAGAGGTCGTGCAATAATAAAGTTTGTGAGTTTAATCTTTTTATAATCTTCTCAAAAGATTAAAATAAAAAAAAAACATTTGAGGTTACATTAAAAATTTAATTATTCACGTTACAAAAATAAACAATTTAATTGTAGCAAATAGACTGTAAAATTAAATTTATTTACTAAATTCTTATAGCCAAATACGTATGTAGTTAAAAAATAAACGTAAAACGTTCCACACCTACTGTAATTTTCACATATTAAAGTAAACTCCCGTCAATTCGGTGGCACTAAATGTGTTAATTTAATTTCGTTATCAACTCTCGTGATTTCCTTGAGGGATACTTATCTTCAAAGTCTGGAACTAAGCTCCGCGATTTAAGAAAATAGAACATTCAAGGCTGAAACCTTAGTAGACTAAATAATATAATGTTTTTAAGTAATTTAACACAATAACTACAGGGTATAGAAAAGTAATAACGAACGGAAGTTTCCTCAAATATAGTTATATTTGAGGAAACTTGAAAGTATCGCCAGTGATAACGATGCATTTATTTTTCGTTTCGACACCGGTTCGCTTGGGCAGCAGGCCGGATTGGAATAGTAAGTGCTAGAACATAATCCTAGGTTTTTGCTTTACATGCCAACGTATTATTTTGAAATAAATACTTAATACTTTTGGTATGCATGTAAGAACTTTTATTTTTTACTCTGTGGATCTGATCTTTCGTCTGAATCTGATTCATCATCTGTTGACATAGGCTTCATATAAAATGGCAACAAATTAAATTCTTTAATTTTTGTACTATTTTCAATTTTTTTCTTGCTACAAGTAAATATAGTTAATGTTGAAAAAGTCGTTGCCAGATTTGTTGGTAAAAATAATGTTGCCGAAAATTCTTGAGAACCGACGCCATTCTTTGAAAAAGCTTGTATTCCTGTATCATTGCATATCACCCTTACTTCGACTCGCGACACTGTGACATCAGCTGAAAAAAAAAATCTATTTAACTTTTTTTGTTGGCCTGTACAATGAAATTTACGCAGGACGCTGTACATATGTTTATATCTTTTAATTTTATGTCTGATTCTAATTTGATTTTTTTTTTTAGGTTGAGATTTTTAATTTCCTTTGTGTAATTAATTAACTATTAAACATTGTAATACTTACGATTATCGCTCTTGTAGTAAATATCGAAAACCCTATTCAAACGAAGTGGTGACCACACTTTTCTTTCAAAATACAAAGCATTTTCTACAAAAAAATAACAAAATATATCAGTTAACGAACAATCCATATATATCTACATAAATAAAAAATATAGTCGTATCTACCCTTACAATCGCCTAGACTCATTAACAACTTATAGTATGGAAATCCAACTGCTTCTATGGTTCTTAAAAATATAAACTGATTCGAATAATGAAATAAAACTGCAAACACCAAGAAAACAACAAAACACTGATGCGAACATACGAACAAAATACGACTCATTTTTAAACAGAACCGCGAGCCAGCTGGTTGTTGAGGTTTATTTCAGTCTATGAATTAAGTAACGCTTCTACGAAGTTTCTTGATACGATCCATTGTTAAACTATGCAAGCAAAACAAACCGCGTTTGGTTTCGTCTTCGGTCATATGGAGTCTAATACTAATTTGAACAACATATTACTTAATTTCTATTTGTACTATAAGTCGCAAATATTTGTGTAGGTACATTCGGAGTTTCATATATTTGTTATGTTTAATAAAGTAAATGAACCACCCATTGGCTTAGTTCATACGTGGTAAAACCTGAAGATATACATTCATTATGTTTAAATTAAAGATCATAGTATAATGATACAATGTCGATGGTAGCGACGCCACCTGCCAAGTAAAGTTCGTGAACAAAACGTTCTTTTCAATCGCCCTGTCAAAGAAGTTTCCTTTATCCATACTTGCTTCGAAGACCACCCTGCGCGTTAGATCTAAGCCACGCAAACCTAAAAGCTGAGTAGTGAAGTGAAGTAGAGAAGTGAATAAAATGAATAGGCAGCGGTCAATTCGCTATTTTAACACGATGATCCCAGAGTAAAATCGTGGCATTGTTAAAATTACGGGTTTTGGTAAAAAGAAAATTAACTTACACAATAACATTACATTCGTTTTTAAAAATTATGATTTCTTGTTTTTGCGTATATTTAATCTGTACATGTTTTTGAAGGACAGATTTCAAACACATGAAACGGAACGTTATGTTTATTTACGTGCAAAAGTCAATCACACGCAAACGCAAATCAAATCACAATAGTCATTACGCACAAAAGTATAAATTTTTAGTGTAATGATCTTTAAAATAATTTAAAATGTTGTGGTATCTGCCATGGTCTGAAAGTATCAAGAAGAGGGCTTGCAGATATCTCTTACAACGCTACCTTGGAAATTTCCTTGAAGAAAAACTCACGTTAGATCAGCTGAGTGTGGATCTGTACAATGGAACAGGAACGGTATGCGATGTCAGCCTTGACTGCGAGGTAAATTTGTTTTATTTTATTACTATAAATTACTTACCAACTAATCTCTGTATGATTGTTACTGATATTTATATCAACACATCCCTTCTAACGCCAAATTTAAGTGCGCAATATTTTTTTAACACGTGTTAACTTTGCCCTTTTAGACAAAGAAATTTTAAAACATCAGAAAATGTCATTACTATAACATGTGATTATCACAATATATAAAAAAAAATTAAAAGAATTACAGACATTACAGTTATTGCAAACAATTATTTTCTTCGTATTTCTTTTATTTTTAGTTATTTAAAATTTAATAAAGTTTTTTCCATGTTTACCCATTGATAATTTATTTGAGCAGTTACCAAATTAAGGGGAGTAATTATATTCACTTGTAATTTAACAAAGTAAAATGTATTTTTGAATTTTAATAAATTTTGTTTGGGTTCCTTTGCAAGGCCCTTATACTAAACAGGTTTTATTTTTATGATTGTGATTTAGGTACATAAAGAAACCTGTATTGGGTCACTTCAGGCATAGCCATCTTGGCTAAATGACTTTGGTGGAGGATAATGATTACCTTATCTCACTATATTGCATAAATTAAATTGATAAAATGAGAAAAACATACTTTGTATGGTTGCAATAAATAGAATTTTTTTTTTAAATAATACCAAACTGTTATTAACTTTGAGAGACATTTAACGTTAATTTAATTTAAAATTGTTTCTTATAATGTGCATGAAGTATATTTTTACATATTTTTGCATATTTTAAATTATTATGCACCATTTTCTATTTAATTTCAGGCACTCAATGAGCTGGGTGACTCACAAAATTGGCCGTTGGAAATAGTAGATGGGCAAATGCAAGAAATTACTGTGACTATACCTTGGTCAACATTGTTAAAAGATGATTCCGTTGTTGAAGTCAATGGCTTATCACTTACAGTTCAACCAAAAGTCAGAGCTGAACCAGGTAAATTTAAATAGAGTAAACAAGACTGTTTTTTTTTTATATCATAAGGTGACAAACGAGCGAGCGGGCACCTGAAATCACTGAAATAGCGAAGTGACCGTTGCCCATAGACATATGCAGTTGCATATGCGTTGGCTACCTTTAATCAACGGAGTAGAGGATACACAGAAAGATAATATTTTCCCTTTCCATGCATCCTCTCATCTGGGGAGTCCACCTCCCATCCTTTCCGTACAAGAAAAAGGGTGGGAAGGGAAAGAGAACTAAATTAGGCCTCCGGGACGCACACTCACCAGACGAAACGAGGAATTGCATCCACTTCACGCCTGTCTTCTGTGTGGTATTTCACCGGGCGAGCCGGGCCAATTCATGCGAAGATGTTAAAGCGGGCTCTACCACTGTTTATGTTAAAACAACATAGTCATTATGCTGACCGTATGTTTGATGGCTTTGCAGTTGATTAGGACTGTACTATACCTATTGCATTTCAAATATCATGAATATTAATAAAAATATCACTCAAAAAATTAACATACATCATTCATTGTTATATTTCTATTCAAATATCTTGGCAACACAAGGTTGTCAATGAAAACAGCACACAATAAAAATTATTAATTTAAGGTTTTCAAGGCTTTCTTCTTATACTACACTATTTCCTTATGTAGTCTCATCTATGTTGGAGTCAATGTGGTCATCCATGTCATCATCAATGCAACTTGCTGCCGAATGTCTCCGAGAAGAAGCTGGACCACAGGAATCTAATCCTGTGGAAGGGATTGAAATGTTTGCCCATGCCATTGATTCTGGTATGTAAAACCCGACATATAATGATAAAGTCATACTAACTTCAATTAAACTTATAGTATAAGCAAAAAACCTTTAAAAACTGTTATTATTTTTATTAAGTATTAGCATTTTTAAGGGGCAACTAGGCCTTTTATAAACAGTTGTTGAGTAGTATAGGAATAATGTAGGAGAAAATAAGTTGCTTTATTGATTATTTTATTGAAGCTGGTTGGAAAATTATAGCGTAAATATTCTGAATATCTCGTGCCAAAACTATAATGCCTAAAGTGAGTTTTGTGATGTATATTATATGTTTAATTTAAATTTACCTTCTCTATTTTTTAGTTTTGAGCAGAGTGAAGGTAAAATTTGTCAACACAAAAATAAGAATAGAACATGTGCCCAAAAATGGTGTCAAAGGGATTGCTTTGGAAATTCACATACAAAAGTAAGTTATGGATTAAAGATACGCAACATATGTGCAATTACAGATGTCTATGGACAGCTGTCTCTTCATCCAATCCAGGTGTCCACTTACTTGCTTGCAACCTTGTAATAAAAAAAATAATATAAATTTTATTTAATTACAGTATTGATTACTTTGATGAGGCCGGTGCAGAACCTGTTCCTGAAACAACAGATCCTGGCCAGTCAAAAACATATATTGTTTCAACATATACAAACAAGAAGATTAAATTTAATGGTGTTACATTATACATAGACGAGTTCCCATCAAGACTTAGGACCATGGCTAGAAGTCTTACTATGGAAAAATCTGTATCATCACAAGCTGATAAATCTGAGGCAGAAACACCAGATGTTAACTACCAAAGTACTATATCTGATATATTCTATGAAACTAGAAGTGTCATATCAACTATAGAAAATGATCCAGTCAAAGAAATAATCGGTGATGATACTCAAAGTGGTTCGAGAGAACCAACTCCAGAAGAAAAAGCAAAGCAACCCGAGCCCATTGTATTTGCTAAATTAACTGGACAACAGGAATTAGCATTGAAATTAAAATACTCAGAAGAAGTTGAAGGTCCTAAAGTTGAAGTGAAAATATTATTAGGGTCTTTGATAGTGTATTTGACACCGCGACAATTGCATACACTGTTCGAACTTGTTGATGCTTTAAATCAACCCGATTTAGAAGATACAAGGTAAGACAATTGAAATTCATTGTTAAATATAAATTAACTGTGAGTTTCTGAAACCTCAGGTTAAAAATTATTGTCAAACATAATGACAGTGATGACTATATGTTTTATCCAAAATTTTGGTCTCAGAAACCCACGGTAAGTTATTCTTTTAATTATCAAAAAGGTTGGTAGGTCTACTAAACTATTATATGTAATTATTGATATTCTAGCAATTTACCTCTTCGTCAAAGCGGTGTGAATATGCAGTGCAAGCCAATGAAACAGGCTGATTTCCAGCTAATCGAAGCTCAACTCCAAGGCAATTTGGAGCGGCAGAGTAAACCAACACATATGTATGGATGGTCGGGACCTAGTTTTGGTAAGTTTTAAAACAATATAATGTAAAATATTCGTTTCCAAACTAAATAGCAACTAAAGGATTATTTTTAAGAATAAACACTTTAAAACAATTTTACAGAAGACAGTGACGCTGAAAGTGAGAAGTTCCATCCGATGACAACCAACCAGATGACGGAGAGTTTTACATCATCCGTTAGTTCTATGAGTGCCAGTATGACATCCAGTGTCAATATGCCTACTGCACAGCCTAGAATCAAGAGGAATAGAAAAGGTATACAACTTTTGACAAAAAAAAATATAATTTGAACGCGATTTACATCAATTAGTTACAACACCATCTATCGACGAAAAAAATTAAACAATTTCATAAAAAATCACGAGTTAAGTCTTAAAAATCGTTTTTGTAATGTTTCAGTACCGCATATTGACGGAGATCCAACTGCAGAGGTTTCGCACATCAGCCTGAGGATGGCGTCATTTTCTTGCGTTTTACTGCATAAGGTAAAATATTTTTTTCTTGTGATAAAAAGTACATCAATAATTACAATACAAATTTTTGCCCGACTTTAGATAGGATAAACTGGGTAGAGTAAATTTTTGATGGGTATCGTAATGTATGCTTCACCGTTCTTTATTATTGTTCTTCTCTTTCTCTCTCTTCAGCCATATAACGCCCACTGCTGGGCATAAGCCGGGGAGGCCAGGATGATCGGTTCTGTATTACCCTCATCCAGGATACTCTTGCAACCTTGACCAGATCGTTGTTTCTCTAGAGTCATATTTTTTATTACCAATTTTACTTTACTAATATTATAAATGTTTAGATGGATGGATGGATGTTTGTAGATATCTGCGGAACGGCTGAACAGATCTCCGTGAAATTTGGCATAGATGTATAACATAGCTTGGAAGAACACATAGGCTACTTATTT